CGGTGTGGCTGGACTTGGGTGGACCTGGGCTGCTGGAGGCTGGAGGAGGGCAGGGGTCAGTCTCGCGGGGCTTTGGCCGGGGGAGGGCTGGCTCTTCCCCCAGGTGCCCTGCAGGCTCTGAGCAGGGGAGTGCTGAGGCCTGGCTCTGATTTCGTCTGAGGTCCGGTCCCTCTCAATCTCAACCCGCCTGTGGGTAACGATGACGCCACATGCGTCCTGGGGATGGCGACTTCCTTCCTGGTGGGGAAACTTGCACAATCTGAACTGCATTTCGAGAGCTTCCCTGTCCCTCAGGGGCCGGGCAAGGGTTCCCACTCGTTCAGTTCCCATAACCCCTCATCCTGCCTCCCTCCCCCTCCCCCGGGCCTCAGTCTCCCTTGTTTGCAAAGTGGGCGGGCGGGACCCAGTGGCACAGGGCCTCTCCGGGGCATCATTCCAGCTTGGATGAGGGCTGGGAGAGGATGCAGCCAGAGTGAGCTCAGGGGGAAATGAAAGTGAAAATGGACCGGTTCCTCCGGAGGGCGGGGCGCGAGGGCGGGGGACAGGCAGGGCAGAAGGGAAATTTTTCGAAAGCTGGGCGGCTGGGACCCTGTGACCAGGCTTTCATTTCTCCTAAACACCCCGCAGCACCACGTGACGCAGCCCGGCCACCTCGGCCAGAAAGGGGAAGAAGCCAGGGGACGGGCTCTCAAAGCGCAGAGGGCTGGACAGAGGCCGGCGGGACCTGGAGGGGAGGTGGAGGCAGCCGAGGGGACAGCAGAGGGCCCTCCCCAGCCAGAGAGGGGGTGTCAGTCACAAGGGAGGGGGCACAGTTAAGAAGGGGCCAAGGGGGAGACCCATTAGCTAGAAGGAAGGGGGGCAGAGAAGCGCTGGGCGGAGGGGGTGAGGGCCGGAGGAGGGGGAGCAAGAGCGAGTCCAGGTGGAAAAGGAGGAAGAGTTGGGGGTGGGAGGGGGAGGAGAGAGAGGAGGGGAAACCTGGGCACAGCAGAGGCGGGCAGAGAGGACAGGGAGCAGGGACCGGTTCCTCCGGAGGGCGGGGCGCGAGGGCGGGGGACAGGCAGGGCAGAAGGGAAATTTTTCGAAAGCTGGGCGGCTGGGACCCTGTGACCAGGCTTTCATTTCTCCTAAACACCCCGCAGCACCACGTGACGCAGCCCGGCCACCTCGGCCAGAAAGGGGAAGAAGCCAGGGGACGGGCTCTCAAAGCGCAGAGGGCTGGACAGAGGCCGGCGGGACCTGGAGGGGAGGTGGAGGCAGCCGAGGGGACAGCAGAGGGCCCTCCCCAGAGAGGGCCAGGTGTCAGTCACAAGGGAGGGGGCACAGTTAAGAAGGGGCCAAGGGGGAGACCCATTAGCTAGAAGGAAGGGGGGCTGAGAAGCACTGGGCGGAGGGGGTGAGGGCCGGAGGAGGGGGAGCAAGAGCGAGTCCAGGTGGAAAAGGAGGAAGAGTTGGGGGTGGGAGGGGGAGGAGAGAGAGGAGGGGAAACCTGGGCACAGCAGAGGCGGGCAGAGAGGACA